ATAAGGTTCAATGTAATTACCGTTAATCCGTTCCGGCGTCCGTGGACCATGCGTCAGGGGCGGAAAAATGGCCACGGACCACGTGTCAGGGGTGGAAAATGGCCGTGGACCACGCAGCAGGGCAGAAAAACAGCCGCGGCCCACGTGGAACGGGCGGAAAAATGGCCGTGGACCACGTGGAATGGATGGAAAATGGCCGCGGACCACGCGGCACGGGGGGGGAAATGGCCGCGGACCATGTGGAATGGGCGGGAAATGGCCGCGGACCACGTGGCACGGTCAGGAAATGCCCGCGGATCCGGTTCGTAAGTCAAGGCAAGTTCGCAAGTCGAGGTAAATTTTTGGGTCCAGAGCTGGTCGTATCTTGAAAAATTCATAAGTAGGGGCGTTCGTAACTAGAGGTACCACTGTATTAGTATACTAAATTCTAGATATTAGTGGCAGGTATTTTCCAGCAGTGCAAGGTATCAGCATACATATTTCGGTGATCAGCACTCTGTGCAGCAAGTTTTACAACATTTTTTCATAATAAGAAATAGTTTTTAGCAAACCGATTATACTGCATCTACATATCTTACATTCTGTCATATTGGTTACATCAGCTTGTTTGTTAATTTAACAAAGCATACCGAAGTCAGTTATTTTGTTCTGTGCCTTAAAGGACCTCCCAGCCAATGAAAATAGAGGAATTCATCTGAAGCATCATGCATGATTAGCATATATAATTTTCTCTACTATCTTGTTTGTTTGGTTAAAAACCATGTCCCTTTTATAATTTATAGAAATCCTGATTATATATCAGTACATAGTACATGTTGACTATTACATTATAGTTAATTCTTGCTTTGTTTACTTTCTCCCTTTTAACAATAAACTGCCTTTCAACTACAATCAGAAATTCATTTAGAATAGCAAATGACTGACTTCTAAAAAGGCTTTCCATTTGGGTCAGCAAGTATGACAGAATACTATATAAAGGAAAAGCTACGAGGCAGAATTTTCACAAGATTGTTGTGAAAACGACTTGAGACAAGAGATCTGTAAAGCAGTCTGTTAGTTTACATTCTGTCTATCCATCACAATATTTAAAGGTTAAGCAAGTATTATTATGTTATAGTCATTTATTTTTGGACTTTGTTTAATAGAAATGTGTACATCAGTGGTAAGATGTATCTTATATATATATATATGCACATACACACACACACACACATGCAGACGGACAGAGAGACAACTGTTGGTTGTGAGATACCTAAGATACTTGGCAAGTATTAATGTGTTTTCCATCCTCACCTCTAAGGAACAGTGCTTCATATAAAGTGATAAAAACTAGTGCTTTTATTTAGTATGTTAGAACAGAAGTGGCCAGCTTGTAGCCCTCAGCACCCATTTCCACAGCCCCTTTTGTGGTTTTGTGAGACTTAAAGAAGCCATTACCCCCCCCCAAAACCTTAACCCAACAAAAAAATTACCATTTTTTTATTTGCAAGGGATTTTAAGGGCAACATTATGACCCTGAAAACCCTTTTCAACTTCTCCTCCCCCCCCCCAAAAAAAAATGACAGAAAAAGGGAGAATATTTTGGTGTCAACTATGGCCTCAAAAGCCAGTAGCTCCTTGTAGGCAGAAATGCAAATGCTTCTAGTTTTTGAGGCCATGGTTGACACCAAAATATTCACCCTTTTTCTGTTATTTTGGGGTGGGGAGGAGGAAGAATGCTTGTCTTTCAATTAGACATAGAAATTATCAAACATTTTGTTCATTGTCTGTTTTTTTAGCTTGCCAACTTTCACCTCAGTTGGCATAGACTATTCTCTACTGCTGGCAGTAATTCAAGGAACTTGCTTTTGGATGATTATTTAGGAAAAAAATTGAATTGAAACATCTCATGAAGAAAACAATCCTGGCAACAGTAAAAAAAAAAATAAAAAATCCCAATACTGTATATGTAATACAATTTCACAATCTGATGTAGTCAATTATATACCAGAAATATTTGTTTTATATTTGTGCATGTATATCACTGTTAAAGTGACAGAGGAAAAGAATCTGAGTGAAATATAGATGGACATCGTAACTTATAGCTTATGCCATGATAGAGGAACAAACAAACCTTTATTCTCTACCTCACTTACATTAGCACAACCCATCCAACTGCCTTGTTTTGGAAGTAAAGGGGCTTGTTGTTGTTCAGTCGTTAAGTCGTGTCCGACTCTTCATGACCCCATGAACCATATCGCGCCAGGCCTTTCTGTCTTTCACTGT